TCTCCTGGCAGTTAGTGAATTGTATTTGGGAATAAGTCATTCCTACTGTTGATTGGTCTACAGTGTTACTGTTTTCCAGCACTGAATTACTCATCTTGCTTTGTTAGGCTTGTCTGGAATTTCTTCATCTTAAATAATAACAAATTTGTGATTCTGCTGTTTACCACGCTTTCCAAATGGTTAAATAAGGCCAGGCCTTTTGTTCTGCCTTCCTGGATGTTGGAAATCTGAAAGAGCCTAAGGATTGCTTGGAAGACCTGTTCCTACTGTGTTAGGTATCAATGGTTGTGTAGAGTTTGATAATAATTATGAACAGCCTCACTTGTTTACTTCCCAAGCTTCATCTAAATGAACATGTCGTACATAAGCCAGACTTAAAACATTAAGGAACTGAGGCATGGCAGCAAATGCTGGAGCTGATTTATGATTTTTGTTTGGGGATATTGCTGAATAGTTTGAACAGAGTGAGCATCTTTAGCAAAGCTCCTTTAGGCTCTGGGTATAACGTCAGCCTGCGGACAGGGGCAGGAAAGCTGTTAACCCACTGAGCCACTGCAGAGTCCAGTGTTTGTAGCTGAGATATTAACATGGCTGTAGCCAGTCCTCAGAACTTCCAAAGGACATGATGAAATCTGTTTTGCTGAGTGCTGGATGGGTAGTGTAGGGTAGCTGCTGCCCCAGAACACTTGTTCTGATGAGCAAGCATTTTGCAATCAGAGGGTGAACAGAACAAGTGCAACATCTTAACAAGAATTGTCATCTGTAAAGAACCCAAATTAGTTTCAAAGTTCAAAAGACGATCACAACTAGAAGAAGATACCAAAGTCCAAGCAGGACAAAAGCCTCAGTTTGATATTAATAATCCAGGCTGAGATGCAACTCTTCCAGGTTCTGAGGAACTTGAAAGACTTGCTAAGATTTGGAAGATATTTAGTGCAGGAATAGTTTACCAAGTGGTTTGCTCTGAACTGTTACTATGGCAACTATTTAGTTTTGAGTCTTGTTGTTGAATGCTCCATGCTCATTAGTGGTGAGGGCATACATAGATACTACCATTTAGGTTCACTGCACTAGAAGCTCAGGAAACAATTACACTAGCTTCCCTAAATGTAGATTTTTAGGCATACTAGAAAATAAACATCCTAGAAAAGTTGGGGTTTCTGTACACCATGTTTTCTAAGGAAGAATAAACACACTAGACATCATGCAACATACTGAAATCTGTAGAAAATAATCTAGCACAATGTATAGCCAATTTTCTTTGAAGTCAAGATCTTTGTTACATGCCTGTTAATACACTTTACTACAGACCTGCTGATTAAGATGGTAACTGACTGCTATTGTTATAGAATCCAAAATACATTTGTACTGATAATTACTACTTTGACAAGTATTTTAAAAATACTGTTCCAAGTGCTTTGCTGCCTCCATTAGAAAAAGTTGAAATTAATCCACAGTCTCTAAAAAGCTAAGCTTAAATCATGAGCAAATTTTACTTTGGCCCAAACAATTATTTGGCTCAGTGCAACAGATGAAATATGATATCTCCAAAATAGCTATCAAAAAAAAAGTAGTTTTGAAAGCAAAGACTCTGCAATGTGATGATAAAGCTTTCTCTTTATACTGATGATTAATGAAACAAAGTGAGAACATTTCCTCGTTCAGAAAGTCTTGTGCATGGAAAACCAGTCTGTTAGCATACTGTTTAACTTCTTGGGGTGTGGCAAGCAAAGAAAATTCTCAACTAGAACAAGAATTCATATGTTTTCCAGTGAAAAGTATTTTCCATGTCAGTGACTCATACTGTAACTTGAGGCTTTCTTCAAACTATTTTTTTTTTTTGGTAGCTGGTATCCTGTAAAAGTCACAAGTTTCCAGAGACTTACTGCATGGGACTTGCCAGGGTTTATAAAAATTATAATCTTGATGCATAGCAATGACTTTCATTTGTTTATGTATTAAGAACCTTTAAAAAACACCAGTATTTATCTGTGTATATGATCCATTTTTAGACTCAGGCTGTTGAATGCATGGTAACACTGCCAAAACAGCCATAAAAACGCATAGCAGTACTCTCTTCCTGCCAAATTAGGAAGCTGTCAAACTAAATCTCACTGATGTCCAAATAGAATAGAAATTAAGGCTTTTATCTTTGTGCATCCCCTTGCAGATGGAATGTACAGCGTTCTCAGATGCCTGCTTCTCATCAGTCCTAACAGCTTAGCACAAATAACTTCCCTGTCCAGAGGTGGGCCTCCTGTAGAGTAATTACAATTCCTGGAAAACAGTAACCAGCCTAATTGTTAAAAGGAATGAAATGTTAGTGCATCTTTAATGTTATCCACCTGTGACACAGAAGGGAAAAGCCATCACACCTGTCAGGGAACCTAGAATCTACACCCTGAACTTAGCCAGACACTGATGAAAGCTTTTAGCAGATGAACTGAGCAAAGTGGCAAGTAGAGTCAGCACAACTCTCAGAACTGACTAGTGCCCCACTTAGGAACATAAAGCCAGCAGACAAGCCATTCCAACTGAAACTGTTTAAAAGGCTAGAAAAGTAATTAAATCTTGCTTAAAAATATGAAGTTGTCCCAGAAAAAGACAATTTCACCCTCAAGTCTGGAAATTTTCTGTTTTTTTAGTATAGTACATTTTTTAGTACATTGGTGACAAACAGGCATCTCAGCTGATGACCTTTCAGTTCTTTATTAGTCTTGGGGCTTTTTCCCTATTTCCCTTCCTATGAAAGTTTACTATTTATTACACTAAAGTCTATAGTAACCCTTGACACCTTGACTATAATAGAAGGCAACTGGAGATGTAGCTGTTTTGCAGGTGTTTGAGTCTTTTAGTTAAGCTGCTGATTGTCCCCCTTTCCAGACCCCATCCTCCATATGACATGATGTGCAGAAGAGGCTGCTCTCTCCTGTTGTTTTGCTTCCCAGTTAAAAGTGTACAAAAATAACTATCCCTAACTATTTAGCCCCCCTGCTGCTTTCCATATATCAACAAACAACATTTTGTGTGCCTGCAGGAATACGGTTAAACAGTTTTTTGTAAGCAACTTGAAGTTTGAATAAACATGATCTGGTGCAGCTGGGGGTGCAGGGGCAGAGTTCATAGAATCATAGAATCATTTAGGTTGGAAGGGACCTCCAAGATCATCAAGTCCAACCTCCAAGATCATCAAGTTCATTTCTGCCCAGCCTAGATTGTGGTTTCAGACTTGGATGGCTTGAGCAATGCTCCAGTGAGACCTGTCCTCAGAGTATCTGCTCAACCAAGAGGCAGCATAGTCAGTGCTGAGGTGGTGTTTCTTCCTGCTGGGGTCTTGACAGAAGGATAACCACTCCTCTGAAGGATCGGAGGAAAAACTTAAACTCAGATACATTGTAAACCTGTAACTTTTTCATGGGGCTCTGAAAGATGACACCTAAATTTCAGATGTTAACTTCTCTATGAGAAATTTCTCAAAAGCCCAGACATGAACAGCTTACAGGTACCTAAGTCAGAAAAGTTAGTTTGCTTTTGGAGACCACCCTTCCTCCCATATGCACATTGAATTTAAATTCTGTTCTGCAGAGGCATGGTACTTTCTGTTACTGATGGAGCTCACATGAGAAAGCAGCACTTGGCCCTTAGCAGCATTCAGTTCCTTTGAAACTGGGATGGTTTCCAGAGCATTCAGGAATGGCTTTCATAGCAGCACAGTGTTTTAGTTTAGATAATGTATGCTGGCCTTTTTTCACTCCTGAGGACCTGAATATGGTCTTCTCTTTACATAATAGGAAATTTGTGGTGCCTTGTCCTAGCGTCTAAAGGACACTCTGTGCCTGCTACAAGCTACTGTACAACTTGGCACAACCTGCAGCCAAGGATTTGGGGAGCACAGATAGGGGTAATAAATTTTTCCTGGCTCTGTTATATGCTTAATGGTGTAGGAGAAGCTTGGTTGGAAGCTAATGTAGAGCTGTAGGGTTTTTTTCTGCTGTAGCCACGTGACTTTGGGCACTGATCTCAAACATCACACCTAGGCTTCTGTTGTTCTGTATGTGTGTCCTGTCAGTTTGGTTAAATATTTTCTATTCTGCAAGTGCCTCCAGGAGACATTAATTTTGAGTTCAATCAATTCATTGAAGAGCTATCACCCACTTTCTAGAAGACTGCTAAGAGTCAGGCAGGTGATATCACTATCTTTGTGTCATCATTTTCCACTCAGTTTTGAGCTGCCTTGAAGGTTGGGATCACCCATTTTGCACCCCAGCTGCTATCAGACCACAACAATTTGGATTTCCATCTGGAGCATGTGTCAGCACACACTGGCAGTGCTGCTAAATGACTCAGAGCAGGGAATGCAAGCGTGGGCTGGCTTCCCCATAGGTGTGGGGTGGGTGGCCTGGTCACACAAGCTTGCTGGGGTAGAGTTAGTCCCTCAAAATGTTTTGAACAAACTGAAATTGGTGGAGTGGCCTTCTGTCCTCTATTTTGTGGCTGTGCCTAGCAGCCAGAGTCCTGAAGGCACATATGGTTTTGTTGGACTGCAGCCAATGCATTGCAAGGCTCATAACAGGAGCTTGATTAGTCTAGTAAAAAGATTTTGATTATAACCTGTACTGATAAGTTATGTTCAGGAACAAAGTTCATCTTGTGTATACAATGAATGAAGTCCAAAGCTAAAGATGAGTGTTATCAGCCTCTTGAAAACTCTTACTCCTAGTTATCTATCAGTTTGGCTCATTTTCCTCCAAGGAATATTGACTTTTTTCCAAGCTTGAGTGCTGCTGTTAAACTACTTCGTAGAGAATTACTCCAATCTTGAATTTCTGCTAAGCAAAAGATAGATATTTCAGTGGGAGAGGGAATTGTTCTTTAGGTCTTAAAGCAAATAAATGGATAAATCACATACTTGTGTGTATGGTGTAGAATTAACCTTGCCAATTTAGAAAGAGCTATGAAGTTGTTCAGTGAACTCCTTTTTTCTCCTGTGTCTTCTTCAGGTATTCGTTACAGTTTGGATGTTAGTGTGGATGAAGTGAAAGCCTTAGCATCTCTAATGACATACAAATGTGCTGTGGTTGGTAAGTGATAATTTTTCAAGAAAGGATGTAATCTTTTATTCCAATCAGTATTCACAGAAATAACATCTAAGTGATTAAATTAAGTTTTAGATCCAAAGCTCTGATTAAAATCTGTAGCAAGATGGGAAGAATGTATAGTGACCAAAATAATACTGTAGATACTTGAATAAAAGTTGCATTTTCATTTGAATAGTCCAAATTCTACTAGCTACCTCCTCCCTTAAAAGTATAACATCCTGGACTCAAATTAAAACAGGACAAACTTGAATTAGGAGGGGGCTAATTTTAGGGGGCACAGGTAGAGGCTGTAAAGGATTCAGGCAGGGGAGCTGTAGAGAGAGGAGGATAAAATTCCTTTATGGGTTATAAAGAAGTATAATTCATATATGGCTGCCAAATTGTAGGGGAGTTTGGAGTGAATCTGCACATTATGTTTATGAAAATAAAATACTTTCTTAATGTATATAGAGTCACTTCACTTAAAACTTAAAGTACAATTTGAGTTAAACCAGTAAAATAGGAACTAAAAAATGTGTTGTTTCTACAAGTGCCAAGTAAAAGGGCTTGAAGCATAGATGATATGTCATGAACTTTGGAGTTTCAAAGACCCTTTTTCCAGCTGACCTTGAATGATTACCTATTTTCATAGGAGAACCTGGATCAGATTATAGTTTGTGAAGCCCTAAATGAGACAAAACCAAATTCACTGCTAAAATCAACAATATAATTACTCACACATTACTGATCTGTACTGCATTTACTGTTGAAAAAATAAAATTATTTTCCTTTGCATTCTTATAGATGTGCCATTTGGTGGGGCAAAGGCTGGTGTCAAGATCAATCCCAAGAACTACACAGTAAGCTTAATAGATAATTTGGTAATCTGCAGTACTGAAGCCAGCCAGTTAAAAAAAAAACAAACACTTCTAAGGGCATTATTGACCACTTATAAAACTTCCTGCCACTTCTGCCTCTGTGAAGGCTTAATTTAGCTTGTGCATGCAATAGGTAGGAAAAGAATTGTTAAAAGTTCTGTATTTGAGGTGGTATACTTCAAGTATTTATTACTTTTTTCTTAAAGTCAGTAGACGACAAATAATTTGGAGCCTGATTTTTTTGAAGTTGATACTGTTAAGAAAGGCTGAAATTAAATTACTCCTAGAAAAAAAGTGTGGGTTTATTCATTTTGACAAATAGTTTTATGCTCTATTAAACCTTTCTACGCAGTGTTCCAGTGTGAATAACAACTAACTTGGCTTATAAAAACTTTACTGCAGGCTTGCCTCCTTGCCCTAATTATAATAACTCATACAGAATACTCATACTAGAATAGCTATCAGATATTATAAGCTTGAAGCTCCTGTAAGGATTTGTATGAAGTAGTTGGGCTGCGTTGATTACACAACTGACAAGCCAGCTATTGCTGTTACAGGTTATAAATCTCTCACAGAGGATATCAGATTTGTTTGATGGAAATCTCTGCTGCAAGCACAGGTGGTTCCTCCTGTGCCACACTCAGGACTTGTGGATCAGACTGTACAGAAAGCAAGCTGATTGTTTCCTTGTGCTGCCTGAATACCAAGGGTCTGTTAGGGAGTGGCCAATAAATGTTATGAATATATGAACCATACTTTATTCTAGAAGAGAAGGGTGTCTGTTTATGCTTGGGCATAAGTTCTAGCAAATAATCATAAACACTAATGTTTTCTTGTGGTATTTATTGCATCTCCTCTGTAGGACAATGAATTGGAGAAGATCACAAGGAGGTTTACCATGGAACTGGCAAAAAAGGGCTTTATTGGTATGTTGTGCAATTTTACTATTAAAAATTCAGAAGCTGATTTATTGTGCATTGGCAGTGTCTGCTAGAGAGTATACTTAACCATATTTTTGAGAGCTGTCAATAATTTGCTTATAGACCTTTCACCAAAGAGCCACAGAGTTGAGTCATTGCACCTTTGTGCATTTTAAAGGGAACTATCATAACTTTTTTCTGATGTCTGTTCTGCTATGAAAGGCCACAGAAGCTGAGCTCACAGGATCCAAAATGAATCACATTTACCTCTTAGAGGTAGATTATAAAATTGTGACCGAGTTTGTTGCAATTTTAATATCTAATATCGAACTGTTCACTGTTACTGTTTCCTGTAGCCTCAGTTGAGGCTTTTGGCAAATATCTGAGGAAACGGAGGAAGGAAATAAAAGATCCACCCCAGAGAAAGTTGATGGGTTGAGCCATGGCAACCACAGGCTGCAAGCGAAGCACAGGCACCTGTTGTAGCAGAACCTCAGCTTCTGGTATTTTAGTAGGTGTTTCATTCAAGCCCTTAACCTCAAGTTGTTCTGATAGCTTACTGTCTGGATTTCCTATCTAGAAGTCTCCTCTGGAGAAAGCCAAATGTTACTAGCTTGACTTGTAATTAAATGGAGGATCTTTACATGGAGGAGGTTCTTATTCAGAGAAATAATGAGGCATGGAGCTGGTTAAAAGGTCTGTCCTGTATTCCTGATGTTCAACTGCCCCTGGGAATGTATATCCATTCGAGTTTTCTTTCTCTTCAGCCCATGTTTGTCTCTGCTCTTCTAGCTGGAGTGTTACTCATCTAAATTAAGCTGCTGTGTAAATACACTTATGGATGTTCCATGTGACTAGGGTAATACTATACACTATGCCAGCTATAATGATTGTTAGTTCAGTGGCAATTAAAACGGTTTGATTAACTTGGCCTTCCTTTTTGTCTCTATGGTTGGTGCTATGCTGCTTCATAAACCTCTTAAAAATACTTGGGGAAAAAAAAATGATAGAGGCAGAGTTGCATTTAAAATCTTGCTGAGCGAGTCCCTCTGATCTTAAATACTTGGGCAAATAGTGTTTTTAGGTACCTGGGGGGTGGGGGGAAGAAGAATTTGTTTTTATTACAACAGGTATATGAAAGTTCTTTCTAAGGTTTGTTTCATCAGGAAAGATGTAATGTCTCTTTCTTAAAGTGAGTGGTGAAATGTGTGTGCGACAGCACAGTGAGTAAGAACAGCCTATCTTAAATGTTTAAACTCAACCAAGAAAAAAAGGAATGGCTTGTGTGAAAGACTGCTGGTTTTGACAGTATTATACAAATGCATGATACATCATCTAAAAAGGAATTGAGTCCAGAAGAATCCATTGCTTGCATAATAAACTGCAGGTTAAACAGGAAAGGAGTTCTTCTCTGCCAAGGCCTGTGTACTTCACAGGGGAATAATGGTTGAAGATAACTTTTTGTGTTTGATCCTTAAAACCTGTTTTCATTGTTGCCAACAGGACCTGGTGTTGATGTGCCTGCTCCTGATATGAGCACAGGGGAGAGGGAGATGTCCTGGATTGCTGACACCTATGCCAGTACCATAGGACACTACGTAAGTTTTGAGCAGAGGCTTCAAAGTAAAAAAAGCTTTCTTGGTCTTTGCAGAAATCCTTTTGTCTAGAAATTTATTATCATGCTGCTTCATCATACAATTGTATTTCATTATGTGAATCTAAATATACTCTTGCAAACTGTAACAACTTAATTGGTGTGAGGTTTTTAAGGTACAGTTAAGGAAAAATAGCTCTAAGGCTAATGTTTTTTACTAGGCTTGATTTAAGTTTGATACAATACTGATTGCAGCTGTTTAGCAAAAAGAAAATGCACTGTTTTTAAAGGTCCCATATGCAGCCTAAAATAGATTTATATTTCTATTTCCCTCTGTTTTCATTAGTACTGTAATATCCTAATTTAAACTTGTTAAAAAATTAGTCATAATAGTTGTTATAAAGTACTGAAATAATTCTATTTCAGACTAATGCATTTACAAATTTTATTAAATGCTTGTGGTTTTGTGCATTCAAGAGACTATGTTAATTAAGTTTGCACTGTTGGTATAACCTGTAAAAGTATTAAGGTTCTTTGTGATCCCCTGAAAGTAACAAGTAATCAGTGTAGACTTCAGATTCTCCAAAATGTAAAGCACAAGGACACTGATATAATTTATTGCCCACAAGGCAATAAAAAATTTACAGTTTTAAAAAATTAGTTTATAGCCCTTAATGTGGTCGTTGTACTTAAGTTGCTGGGGTCAAGTGTACCTGTTTCAGCTGTACCAGAGACATGAGTGTTCACCAAACACTTCTGTTATGTACTTCTGGCAGGTTGGACAAAAGAAAAATGTGTTTTGAGAACTTATTTCTTACAGCTTTACTGTCTGTGCTAGCCAAATTTTCCAGCTTCTTTCAAACATTGTTTCTGCTACTCCAGCAGGTCATATTTTGCTAAGGAATCTTGCCATAGCTTTTGTTTTCATGTGTTACTGTGCTAAGCTATTGCATGTTTGCCTATCCTAGCTCCTCTTGAGTTGCAAAGACTCCTTTCACTTTCTACAGGCCCTCCCAATAGTTTCTCAGAAATACAGCAGGATGTACACCCCCAGTAATGAGACATGAGAGCCACCCAACACGTACTTCCCGCTGGCATGTCTGCTCAAGACGTGTCTGGCTTTCCTGAGACAGTCTCCTGGCTGAAAACTTGTGTTGTGCTGTCTGAGGCCTTTAACAATAGGAGGGTGGAGTGACACAGGGTATTCAAGGTCTAAAATATGGTCTTGGGGAGGGGGGAAGAAATAAATGCCAGAGGAATAGGCTGCAACCTGCTGATTAGTTGAGGTAAACCACTTTTACACAGTGCTGTCTGCTAGATGGAGAGACCACTATAAAACAGCACTTGCTTCTTACTACTTGTAAATATTTTAAATAAAACCTTAAACCTGATAAAAAGACAGAATTACGACTTCAAAAAGACTCTAACACATGTAGTGGCAACTTGCTCCCTCAAGTCATAAATTAAAATGCCAGCATTTCAGAAGACTATTGCCTCAAAGTATTTCAAGCTTTAATATTTATCTTGTTGCACTAAAATGCATATTTCACTGTGATACAAGAGCATGGTTATACTATGACTGACACAGAAGGCTCACAGCACATGACTTTGCTTTAAGATTTGCTGCATTTGTTAGTAGTTCACATAGTTATACAGAAGCTTCAGGGGTTTTTTATAGGTGGAAACCTATTTAAAATCACCTAAACAGTGATACAGGTGAAGATTTTTAAATGGCTGAATTTCTTATTCTTTCTTTATTCTATATTCTCAGCTTGCTGTGTAGGCTTACACATCCACATGCTTCTTTGATAAAAGAAAACAAACCAGCAACTACTAGAGGGTAAAAATACAATCTGAATTATGCTACAACAGCTTTTTATTCCTAGACCCTCTCTGCACAGCAGTATCTTTTTCTTGAAGAATAATAAACCTGAGAGGATTGAGGTGATTTTTTTTCTGAAAAGTTAACGAATTTAAATGAAGAGGGGGAAAAAAAAGTTTACTTAATTTTGTTGGGTTGCTTGTTTGTACATGGAAGAGAGAATGGTAGTCGTAGTGGAATTTACAAGTTATTCTGGAGAGTGGCCAGGTGTTGAGAAGAAAGAGGAGAACTCTCATGAGGCTGTAAAAAAGTGGAATAATCTATCAAAACCAGTTTGTAGAGGAGAATGTTTCAGTTCTGATCAAGACACCAAGGACAAAAATAAAGGTGGTTAAGGAATATGAAATATATAGAAGTGACCATGGGGGAAGGAGGGAACCAGGAGCAGAAAATGACCATGGAACAGAATTGAAACTAACCATAATTCAGAAAACAGATGGAAGCTATGCCAGGGATACATTCAGTGGAGTGGAAAGAGAACTCTTCAGTCAGAGTCATCTGTCTGAGAAATCTACAGACCTGATGAGTCAGTGTGGTTGCACACAGATGCATTCAGGGAGCTTGAAGTGGAAAAGGAAAGGCAAATAATGGATATAAACAGATAGAGGAACCCTGCCTGAAACCTAACATTGAGAGCCAGGAGCTGGAGAGACCAGGAAAATGTTACTGCAGTGTGGAAAGGGGTTAAGGAATGAGCAGAAGTTCAGTGTCTGAACTTTGCCAAGTTCCTAGACTATCATTACTGATACACAGTCATGCTAGCCATCAGTCATTTTACAAGCCACAGTCTTTCTTTTTGGACCAAGAGGTGTTAAAGCCACAGTTTTTAGGACTTTGACATCAACTGTGGTTTGTATATGTGACTTTAAGAAGACCTGGGCCTGCCCTCACCTCATGCTCTGTTTTCTCACCAAACCATGCGAGTCTTTAATAACTACCATGTTAACTGTTCCAGAAAATCCATCTTAAGTTAACTTGCTGGATCACTGAATTATATATGGCTGAAGTTTTTGATTAAATTCAACCTTTCCACTCTTCTGTACTTCCTGACACATCCAACTGATTTTTGGGACATGTGAAGGCTTTAATAAATACATTCTTAGGCATGGTGGGAGGCTCTGTCTCTTCAAGTGTTTATAAAACATGCTTCCTCCATTGTAACACATGAGGGATAAAAATGTAGTTTCAACCAGAAACAGAATGAAAACCTAAAAATACATCAAAACACAAGGCCAAGTTCTTCCTAGCAGAAAACCACCACAGATCTTGTTTACAGTTGATATGCCACCAGAGGGAGCATACAGCTTAATGAGAGCAACGAAGCTGTATTTTGGGAAAGTGAATCAGGACTTTTGTGGCAAGCCCGGCATTGCTTTTAAAGAGGAGTTTTCTTTGGCTTTATATGTTAAATCACTATCCTTTTCATTTCCATTATGAATCTACTCATCTCCTGCCATTCTGCCTCCACTTTTGTCTGCTTCTTTGCTTCCTCTCACCAAGCATCTCGCACTCATGCCACAGGCATACAAATGCACTTGGCACAAGTGATGGAGAGGAGGGAACCTCCCGGTGAATATGTGGCTGGTGGAGTAGAAACCCATCCGGCTGCTGGCAGACTCATTTCAGTGGATTCCCTTTCATCCCTACCCTCTCACTTGTGCTGGAGGCCAAGCCATGCCACTGTATGACTGCACTCCCAGGGGGTGGGAGCATGGGAACCAGGAGTGACAGAAGAGGGAGGCCCAAAGAGGGTCTCCTTTGGAAGACGTTTTTTCAAGTTATTAATTTCAGTTTGAAAAATGGACTAAGGTTTTAAATAGTCTATTTTGCAGGAGTGACAGAAGAGGGAGGCCCAAACAGGGTCTCCTTTGGAAGAAGTTTTTTCAAGTTATTAATTCCAGTTTGAAAAATGGACTAGGGTTTTAAATAGTCTATTTTATCTTGGCTAGCTGTCTAGTGTCTGGGAAATTTAATTTTATTAAATTAATCCTTAATTTCACCAAATTAAGGATAGAGTCTTGACTGTATATATTGCTTTTTTGAATAAAAGTAGTAAATACTTATCTAACCTGTCCCATATGACCTTCATACTGTAGATTTTCCTCTGAGATCAAACATCCCTTTATTCTGACAACAGGAAGGTTTTAGGCCTGTATTGTCATTTCAGAATAACTGAATTTAGTATAAAGAATACTAAACACTGTTTAATGATTAAAAATCCCAGTCTAAACATATCTTCACTCTTTAAAAGATTAAAATGTGAACAACAGTGATGGAAATTGTAATAGTGAATTCTGAGAAACATATCCCTCAAAGATTTTTGATTTGTCAAAGGTCTACTTGTTGCTAATAGTGCAAGAGATGTCACCTTAATTAACCAACCACAGACTGAACTTAACATAGACACAACAAAAAACCACACAGCATTAGAGCAAAAAATTACAGCATTATGCAAGGTCCCTGACATCTAATGAAGTACTTCTGGGAAGGTGTTCACACAAAGCGAGGAAGGAAATAATCCTCAGAAACTAAATGTACACAAACGGTACCATGTTCTGGCTCTTAGGATTCCTGTTTTCTCTGAAGTGTACAAAACTTCTTGTTCCAGCTATTCTTTGCTTAATTCCATAGCTCATAAACCCTCTGCTGTTTTACAGGATATTAATGCACATGCATGTGTAACTGGTAAACCCATCAGCCAGGGTGGGATCCATGGACGTATATCTGCAACTGGTCGTGGTCTCTTCCATGGAATTGAAAATTTCATCAATGAAGCATCATATATGAGTATATTAGGAATGACTCCTGGATTTGGAGATAAAACATTTGCTGTTCAGGTAATTTTTTTCCTTTGGCTATAGGGAAAAAGTAGTAAACAACTTCCAGTAGAGCCACTTTTAAAAAGGGCTATAGCAATAAATCCTGTTAGGGTTTTACGACTGCCAAGTTAACCTTTACTCTGAAACTTCAGAAACACTTTTCAAGGTGCCCTTTATTTTGGACTGTTTTTTGAAAAACTGAACTTTCAATTGCACTCTACAGGCACGAATCCAAATCGCCAGTCTTTATAAATACAGGCTGCAAAGAACAAAGTGAAATTCTGTTACAGGGTTTCTTTAAACTAAGGCTTTGCACACTTTTCAGGGAGCTGTGACACTGTTTTTGCTGACACAAAATTTATTGCACTGTTTTGCAATAAAAAATTTTAGCAAGAGAAGGAATTGAGGGTTATGTACAAGAGCAGTTGGAAAAGTAGAAACCAATGCTTTAGTTGTAGGTATCTAAATCCTAAATTTTAAGGGTTGAACATATGTTTTTGGCATTAATAAGGCTTCAAGATTTATGTAGCTGAATTTTGAAGGGGTTTACTCTTCAGTAATACACATTGTCATTCTTAAAATTTCCAAAAAATAATTTGTTCAGCTTTGAACAGCATTTTAAATGGAGGATTTTAGGGACAGCTTTGTTTTGTTGTTTTCAGTACCAATGCACTGGTTATTAAGAAATAGCAGCCTAATTGTAAACTCCTAAGTTGTCCTCTGGTTAACCAGTGGGCTGAAACAAACTGTGCCCTGCATGGATCCAGCAGCACACTCATCTCCCTGTGCTTCAGGATTTTCATGCCTGGCAGAGTGCTGACCCACAGGCACTGGAGCATAACCTAGACTCAAAACGTGGCTTTAAGAATCACTGAAGATTTTCTTAGGAAAATGAGGATACAGCATTGCAGAGACCTAATGCATAACAAACTGTTGTATCCAAGCTTGCTTCTAATCTATATCAACAAAGATCCTAAGTGTAACTTGAGCTATGTTATACAGGAGTTTAATATTCACCTGCATGGATCCAGCAGCACACTCATCTCCCTGTGCTTCAGGATTTTCATGCCTGGCAGAGTGCTGACCCACAGGCACTGGAGCATAACCTAGACTCAAAACGTGGCTTTAAGAATCACTGAAGATTTTCTTAGGAAAATGAGGATACAGCATTGCAGAGACCTAATGCATAACAAACTGTTGTATCCAAGCTTGCTTCTAATATGTCAACAAAGATCCTAAATATAATTTGAGCTGTGTTATACTAATATTCAGCTTTTTTTCCAGCATAGAATCTTAATACAAACTTTTGACGTGGATCATGTGACCTTTTGGTGTGCTGTTTGTGTTCCTTGACTTCCAGAACGTTGAGTGATGGCCTGGAATTTGGTTTTCTACATCTGCAAGGATGTAAAACATACTAATGAAAGGCGAGGTTGCCTAAATTTACAGCTAGGCATTCTGTTTTGTACAGGGCCACTTCAGAAATGTAGTAGAAATTATGTAGCTTCCTCCTGGTTTATGTGTTTTAATGTGAAGAATTAATTATATTCTTGTTTAGTGCTTTCCTTGTGGAATGGTTTTACACTTGTAAGCCTTCCTTAGCCAAATTAAATGAGAGTATTTCTTGGCCTGCAAACGTTAGTCAAACCTTTGAATAGCCATACAAAAATCCATGAACCCCTTTCAGACACTGCCCGTTATAAAATAGGTACACATCATGTCTCTGTGCTGATAAACATAATAGTTTTGACATTTCCACAGCAGCATTGATACTTCCCTTCTTCCAGTACATAAAAAACTTAGCCCAGCTGCATGTTGCTGGCTATGATACACAATTTCTGCAGTGGTGTTTGAGCTGGAATAGAATACACATAGACTTAATCTTTCCTATACACATCATCAAATGCCAAAATATGCCAATAGATCAAGAACTACTTAAAACTACTCAGAGCTATATAAACCTTAGCAGCAATCATCATTTTAGCTGAAAGATTAACTGCTTTTCCCTTTCTCTTTCTGCCTTTAGGGATTTGGTAACGTGGGCTTGCATTCTATGAGATACTTGCATCGCTTTGGAGCAAAATGCGTTGCTGTGGGAGAATTTAATGGTTCTATCTGGAATCCTGATGGGATTGACCCAAAGGAACTAGAAGATTACAAATTGGTACGAAGCTTAACTGAGCAGGAGGAGTTTCATTTTTTGTTTTACAAGTACATAGGATAGCCATAGACTGGTGTTAATTCGTGATGATTAAATCAACCTGCAATTAAGTACTTACAAATAAGTTCTCCTTAGTACCATCTGCATTCATATTGGGGATATTTTTTTTTTACCCTCAGGCCTGACTCTATGAAAAATTCCCTGCATGTGTGCAGGCTAATTACTTGGGTTTCAGAATTGGAGTTGATTATTACTTTGCCTTTCTTATGACTAAACTAGGAAGGATGACTCAAGGAACCAGGGCATGGAGGTTCCTGACTGAGAATCACAAGCGTATGAACATTTAAGGCTTCAAAGTGCACTTTTGATGCTTTTTTACCTATTGGGTGTTTATGAATAAAATTAAAGCCTGTCTGGCAGTGTGACTTGAATATGTGATTTATAATGAAAACTGGATATGTTTTTTTTATTTCAGTTTCCAAGTGAAGCAGATGTGAGGAGACAGTTCACAGACACTAAAATAAGATCTTCTACTTAGGGTTTCTTAGGGTTTAATTTGTTGTGTCTTCTTTTGCATAAGGAGTATTTGAATGTCATCACCACCCCCTTTCTCAAAGGAATGAAAAAATTCTGTCACTAAACAAAGGCTATCATTGTAGCACTGTATTTAAAATGGTACTTCTGAATCTTGTGTGATGCAGTGTACCTGTGTGTAGCTGACTGGTGTGTCACTTCCGTTTGAAAACTATTACATTTGCTATGTATTTTAAGAGTTGAGAGGAACTTTGCTTAAAAACAATATTCAGAGCCCACGTTGTTATCAGTGCCTTTGGCCAGAGAGCAGTTATGCCTCAGTCATGGGAAGCTTGACTCTTGTCCAAGCTTTGTAGCTTGCTTTTTATGCCTAACCTAAGGAAGGGTACGAATTAGGTTGTGTGCTCTCACCTCTTCTTTCTTTTTTGAAAGTTAGAATGAGGGAACAAAGTAATGTAAATACACACACTAAAACCACCCTGGTTTGTTTTCTTCAAACAGCAACATGGGACAATCATGGGCTTCCCTAAAGCACAGACACTTGAGGGCAGTATTCTGGAAACAGACTGTGACATTCTCATCCCTGCTGCCAGTGAGAAGCAGTTGACTAAGGCCAATGCTCACAAGGTTAAAGCAAAAGTAAGTTGGAGAGTTCAAATTTAAATAAAAAAGAGAGTAGGCCTATTTAAATACTCGTATTCAATAATTAGCATAGACAAAACCAAACATATTCCTCTGAGTTACTCTGCTGTGATTCCTTTCAGATTATTGCTGAGGGTGCCAATGGGCCTACAACTCCTGAAGCTGACAAAATCTTCTTGGAGCGGAATATCATGGTTATACCTGTAAGGCTCTACTACCACCTTTGGTTTTCATTACAGGGGTAATATTTCTGTGAATTGCAGCAAGGCATTATTTTCTGAAGGTTTTTATTAATAGCCATTCATTCCCTGAGAGTGTTTTTTAAAAACTGTTGTATAGGAAATAGGTGTCGGTGTTGCTTAAGATCAGTAGTAATTACTTACAGATCTCACTGCAACTCTAAGTGCCCAAAGATAACTTTTTACATGAAGGCTATATATTTGGAAAAGACAACAGTCCACAACAAGTTCTTAAATCTATAGTTTTGCTTTTTGGAGTACTAGCTGACATTTGCTCAACTAAATAATCCCCTAAGCAAAAGAAGGTGGCCGAGTAAATACACTGACCAGTGTGTTTCTAAGTGTGTCTCTGGGTGATGCTCTAACAGAACTGTGTGTTGTAGATTCTATAGAGTAAATGTTGCCTATAGTGATAATTGGAAAGAACAAGGCCTATGATAATCTCTTCCCAGAGAAAGGGTGTCCTGATCAAGTGATATTGCTAGAAGGAGTGGCTGATCTTCAGCCTTTACTCACTGAGATGGCTTAAGAATGCCCTAACTTTCTTGATTGAAATCTTACACTAAAATAAAAGAAAATTGTCAGTCAAGCACACCTGAACTTCATGTGTTCTAAAGTCAAGTCTTCTTTTAAATCAATAGAAGTAATCCCTGGACTGCTGAAGAGGATGAGTGTTGTAATATAAGAAAACCAACTGAATTATCTTCTGTACTGCGGTTTAACCTAGTACTTTGTGCATCCTACTACTGCTTGCTGTTGCTTGGTACAATGGAAGTATCTCTATCACATGGTCACATTTTAAGACATTTACTGTTTCTGTGCAGGATCTTTACCTGAATGCTGGTGGTGTAACAGTATCCTATTTTGAATGGCTGAAAAACTTGAACCACGTCAGTTACGGACGCTTGACCTTTAAATATGAAAGGGATTCAAACTACCACTTGCTCAGTAAGTGCCCAGTTCTGCTTTTGCTCACTGTTCCATTAATAGGTTGGACTAGCAATATACAACTGTGTTAGAATACAGAACTATTTTAAATTCACTGCAGTTTCCCACAAGTCTATTATTGCTGCATACTGAAGAGTAGGAAGATTTGATACGTTAACTGACTTGCAGCTCTACTGACTGAAGTTAAATACATGCTTTTTTCCCAGTTAGTAATTCATAAAGTGATGCTTCCCTCAGTTTTGTGAAAACACTGAACTCAAGCCAGTTATATGAAAAATCTATTACTTCATAATAAACTTTTCAGTGGTACACTTGGTAATTAAGAAGCATTCAAAGTTCAAACGGGTAGCATTGTTCTGCACATATAACAATAGAGAATTTCTATAAAGAGCAATAAAATAATTGGGACAGGTGCTGTAAAAATCTGCTTATGACCTACAGCTCCATTTGGGATCATTCTGTGCCTCCTGATTTTTGGGCAAGAATACCAATCATGTGGAGAAAGGAACCTTAATGAAGAGTAACTGTTGGATATTGGTCCATTTTAAATTACATTCTGCAGAAAACATGAGAATCTTGGGACAATAGACTTGACAAAACTTAGATCTGAATGGTTTTCTAATATAAGCTTCTCTCATAAATTATAACTGTCAAGGTGTTTCTAAAGTGATGGAGGGTTATGTCAGTTCTACTTTAAATCCCTCTTTTAACTTCCAAGATTGTATTGTCTGAAATACTCTGTGATGTTTAGGAAACCACACTAATGAAACTTCAAGAATTAAGATGAAATAAATAGCAATTCAAAATACCAAAGCACTTCTGGCATCCTAAGGAGAAAAATAAAATTCCACGTGGACTTTTTTCTTAGCTAGTGCATATGCAGAGTGCAATAGGAGATAATTGATTGCTCTAACTTCAAAAAGTTTTTTCTAATGCTGTCTTTCAAATTAGGAATGTTAATCCAGATGGATCTATCAGCTGTATAAGGTTAGCAAAATGGGATTGGAACCCACAGTTGCTTGCCATGTGACTGTACTATAGCAATATTAATAATATTGGAGGCATCCATCTGTGAAAACAGAAAATTTAACATTTTTCCCTTTTCTTAAAAAGCAAAAATAAGATTACTTCCTTTTCCCCCAGTCCCTATAGCCTGCATTTTATGATGAAAGTCCTGGGGTCTGCCCCTCTGTTAGGGAGCATATTCTTTTCCTTGTCAGTTACCTTGCCTATGCTTTTTTTTTATTTTTAGTGTCTGTTCAGGAAAGCTTGGAAAGAAAATTTGGGAAACATGGTGGAACTATTCCAGTTGTGCCTACAGCAGAATTCCAAGATAGGATATCAGTAAGTTGTTGCTGCTGGATTTTTTACAGTTGCTGTAACTATATTCTGATATTATAACTGCAATCTAAGGTTTATCATTGTAGCTATTGTGGAGGTTTTTGCCTCAGGCAAGGCATTAGTACATAGTTAGCCTGCTGGCCAAACAAATGAAGCAATCACATGATCTGAACTGCTTGGGGATACTTGGATATTGTATTTTTCTTTTACTTGAGCCTGTGCAAAATGCCTCCACTACTGTTAACATACTACAGTTTTGTAATGGTTTGAAAACAAACCAGTGAGAGACTCCAAGTCAGAAATACAATTTAATAGGAAAAAATAAAAATAAATGCAATAATACAAAGGAAAACCACAGACAGAGTCAGAATACAACCTGACACTCTGTAGTTAGGGTGGTGGGAGCAGTCCAGATGAAGCAGTGGTCTCGTAGAAAAGATCTGGTAGCTCTTGTCCTCTGGAAATCCAGTGGGTAAGGCCCCCTGTGCTGTCCTGAACCCCAGTTTATATCCAGGTGGGAGCACTTGGCTCCTCCACCTGGGTGGAGCATCTCACAATGGGTTGATACCAGTCTGTGAGTCATGCAGTGGGTCCTTGATGGTCCATTAAACAGAAATAGCTCCTGGGGGGAGCTCTGTATGAGTCTTGGGGGGAGGCATGGATGGGCCCATGGACAGGGAGGAGGACTCCTGCTGGGTGGGAAGGTGTTAACATCTCCCTGACCTCTTTCCTTGTCTGTTATAGCCTGGGGGTGTGAGGTGTGTCCTGGGCAGCTGCTACCCATGATTTTGTTAACAGCCCATGAGCACTGACATAGAGGGTATAGAATACACAGGTTTTGGTTCTACCCACATAAGGATAAACTGGTCCCAGCCCCTGTAACCATGACAAGTTTTAATACAAATGCTTTTTTGTGTTTGTAACTAGTGTTACATTACATGTTACTGTTAATACACTGGAGTTGTTCAGAGCAACAGACTGTCTCCATTGTTGATAAAAACAATGTGAGTTACCTTTTTTTTTTTCACTAAGGAGGATGCAAGGTGCTGTGAAATATGTGATATTTCTGCTGACTTACTTGATAGATAGATTCCATGATTTCTTTGGACCCTAGTTATATGTCTACAGAGCTTTTGTAGTGGGAAATACTGCCTCAAACATTACTGGAATTTCTTTTGGCAATCCTATTGATATAATTTGCCTGGATTTCCAAACAGCTTTCAAGGAGATACCACACCACAGATTGATACACTGTTTGTGTAAGTCTATGATAATATAGACAAGAGCTGGGTGACAAACTGTAGAATGTTCATCAAAGACTGAATTAATGGGTAAAGAAGTGTCAAGTAAAATTCATTGTTATCTAAATATGTAACAGTACATGGTGGGGAAATTTTCCCATGAGATGATAGGTTATAAGCTCATCTATTTGCATTCAAATGGGAGATCTGGAGGTAATGACAAAATACAAGCTTGGAAACCCAGAAGAGGAAGAAAGCAAATCCAGCATTAGAAATTGTTCTGAAGGGAAAAGAATAAGGCTGACTAATTGTTTTGCCAATGACCAGGCCCAACAAAAATGGTACAGCCAGCAGGAAGATGAACCAATACACAGACTGTGTTGTAGACAAGAAGGACATTCCATGAATGATCACTGGGGGGACAAACAGATCAATCAGCTGGGACATAATTGATGCCACCCCCAATGATCTCACAAAGGACGTAACTTGGCCCACAACAGGGGGTACAAACAGAGACCCGAGGCTGCCCACAGCTGGCATGGGAAACAGCCAGAGCAGCAGCTGAACACAGCAGAGAAAGGTGCCCACAGGGCGACTCGCACCCGACCCGCCCGCGTTCACAAAGGTCTGAACAGCCTGGGGCCCAGCTCCAGGAGAGTCAGGAGGTCTGCCCTGAACCAGGCAGCTCTGGGGAGTGCACTCCACAGACAGACACTCCTGACTCCCTGCCAGTGCTCCCAGCTTTTATCCCCCAGCAGAGCCCTGACCTTTGTCAGCTCCCTGCGGGACCCCTGGGGCTCATTTCCCTTCTGGCTCTCCCTGCAGGGCCGGCCGCACCCTGGGGGGAAGCTCTAAGGCAAACTCACCCCTCTGGATGAAGGGCTGTGGGGATCACCCAGATGGCAACCTGAACTCGGGGCTCGGGGTTCAGACCCCAGCATTTCACTAATGGTGCCACAATTCAAATGCAGAGTGTGTCTGCCTTCTGAATATTGTATGCAGATTAGGTCTCTACGTCTTCAAACATTGTAGATGTAGAAAAAGCTCAGTACAAGATCACAAGAATAATCAAAGATAGGGAAACTTCTCGTACATGGAAGTGAGCTAACCTAGGTCCTATTGGCCTGAACTAGGCCTGGGGTGAGACAGTAATCTACAGAACAGGTGAAAATGGATGGGTAAGAGTAGATTGTTCACTGGAAGGAATGGTGACAGAGAACAAGATGCATTCAAACAAAACCAGCAGAATGAAGAACGGGGGATGGTTCCTAGCACAGCAGACAGTTAAGATGTGCAGTACTCTGCCAAGGGAATGTATAGAAACATTAAAGTATGCTTCCTCTGCAAGAAATCACAGCAAGTGCATGTAAACTTGGACAACTGTCAGCTGATAGACTTGAGCCTGATGTAGCCTGATGCTCATTTTCATTAACATTAGGCTAAATGAATAGCATGGTAGGTAGGTTCTGTGGCTTAGAGCAGTTGTGATCTTTTAAACACAAACCATAGAAACTGTCATAGTACTTTCAACATCCAGCCCAATTTGGTATTTGAAGGAAAGGATGTATTTTATGAAGGTCTCAAATTATTGGTAAATTACAGCAATCAGAATGATGGAACATTGGAACCAATACTCTGTCATCCTAAATCATACTATGTTGAATTACTTATTGTCCTGTGTATTTAAATTTTACTGGGAACAAAGTTATTCTGGAATTGCTCAGGACTAATACCATGCTGAATATGTGAATCCTGCCTTGTATCAGCAATAGTGTGGCCAGCAGGAGAAGGGAAGTGATTGCCCCCCTGTACTTGGCACTGCTGAGACTGCACCTCACATATTATGTCCAGTTTTAGGCCCCTCACTACAAGAAAGACAGTGAGGTGCTGGAGCATGTCCAAAGAAGGGCAATGAAGGTGATGAAGGGTCTAGAGCACAAGTCTCCCAAGGAACAAATGAGGGAACTGGGGTTGTTTAGTCTGGAGTGAAGGAGGCTCAGGGGAGATGTCCCTTTCTACAACCACCTGAGAGGAGGTCGGTCTCTTTTCCCAGGTGCTAAGTGATAGGACAAGAAGAAACAGCCTCAAGTTACACTGAGGGGGGTTTAGGTTAGATATTAAGAAAAATTTAGTCACCAAAAGGCTTGTTAGGCACTGGAACAGGCTGCCCAGGGAAGTAGAGTGTGTGAGTGAGATGAGGTGCTTTGAGGCATGGTTTAGTGGTGACCTGGCAGTGCTGAGTTAACAGTTGGACTCAGTAGTCTTAGAGGTCTCTTCCAACCCAAACGATTCTTTGGTTCTATCAACTGGGGATCCGTGCCCTTCCTAAAACCTGACTGTCCTCAAAACAATTGCAAGTAGCTTCTATAGGTTATTGACTCTTGGGAGCTTTTTAGTTCAACATTTACTGTGTGTTCTGAAGCTGGAAAACAGTAGTTACAACATCAATAAAAAATATTAGCAGCATGTATCTAGAAGGTGAGCATACAAAAAAATTCAGTGCTTACCTCTGAGGCTGTAGAATTGAATTGACTGTAATTAGCTCTTCAAGTAACACAGTAAAAGTGATTCAGATACCAGTCATAAGAAGAAAACAAGCAAGCAAACTTGTAATTCTGTGATTCCAACATGTCATTGTCCCTAATACACCACTAGTACCTTTCTGTGCTCTGCATTAACCCCTGACTCTGTTCCCTGTTGCTGTAGGGTGCGTCCGAGAAGGACATCGTCCACTCCGGGCTGGCTTACACAATGGAGCGTTCTGCCCGGGTAAGGATGGCATTGGGAAGTGTCCTCCCTTGCATGACTTTGTGACAGCTTTTGAAGGGCTCATACAGGACTTCTTTGCAATTAAAGGACTAGATAAACAGTTCCTGATAGCGGAAGTCATTGTGAGTAGAGGCATTTCTACTCTCTGCCTCGCTGGCCAACTTTGGGCGTAGTAAATGTTAGAGTAATACATGAAATCAGGAGGTACATACATAAGAGAGCTTTGCTTTTCCATCAGCAGTTTTAGGTTAATCCCTCTATGCAGTAATTTTAATTAATGGGGCAAAGGCTGTTTGAAACATCTTTCCCTTTATCTAAGGTACATGTGGATCCAAGACCTGAAAAGGGACAACACAGTAACCTAGGAGAGATTTTTTTCCCTTTCAAATCTTAGTTGTAAGGGGAATCAAAAAATGTTAGCATTGATCCCCAAAGGACTGGAGCTCTGATACCAATCTAGCAGCTCATTATACTCCTAACTTGTATCCACCAAGCAAAATCTAGTTTGAGACTTGCAGAAATCACATAGAACCTTTTCTGTTTCAGCAAATCATGCGTACAGCCATGAAGTACAACCTGGGTCTGGACCTGAGAACAGCTGCCTACGTCAATGCCATTGAGAAGGTCTTCAAAGTGTACAACGAGGCTGGTCTGACCTTCACATAAACAGACCTTACTGCTCCTTTCTGTATCCCACCCCTCTCGCTGTTCATGTACCCTCTTCTTCAGAAAGCTTATCACAAGTTTACATGTAACCACAAAATCTTCTTTTCTTCTGACATTATAGTGGATTCTATTCTCAATTAGTTTCAATCCAAACTAGTCTTTTTTACAATAAAAAAAAAAAAAATCTATGGATTAGGAAATTGTATACAAGTATGTATCTGAAGATAACAGCTCATCTGCACTTGTGGGGGCCATTCTGGGTATTTTGCCTACAAAACAAAATGGTACATTTTATGTATGAAAGAGTGGTCTTGCCACCCAAGCCACTACTCAGACTTTTAGATCAGATACTGTACTAGGTGAGCACTTTGCTCATTAATACTTCATGCACTTTTGTTTAATGACATAATCTGGGCTTCGGCACTTTGAGTAAGGCCTTGTGTGATCAATGCTGTGGCATTGGCAAAGGAAGAATAGGCCTCCAGCAGGGATTCACTTTGATAGGAGTCTAATTTTTATTTGTAGTAAAGCTTCAGGCCTGATTCTCTTTAGGCAATGGTTTTTTTCTTTAATTGTTCTGCTGTTAAAGGACTGCCTTTTATTGCTTCTTCAGGCTAGCTTGACTATCACCATGAAGTATGTAGAGGTGACAGACTAATATTTTTATAAGCTGAAACTATTGAGCAACTCCAGTTATGTTTTTAATCAAGTACCTACATAACTATCTGACTATAGGTTTTCTTTTTTTAAAAAAAGGGAGAGTCTAAAACTTGGTAAGTAATCATACTTAGGGGTTTTGGAGTTCTTTTTCAATCTTTTCCTTTCAGAGGCTTTCTGAAAATTCTGAAACTGCCTCAGTGAACAACGAAAGTGAAACTGAACCCAGAGATCACTGGCCAAGCTACAGAGGAGCTAGAATGCTGCTATAAACTTAATCCATTGTCTTAACACACACAGCCTTTTTTTTCTGTCATCAGGAGGTCTTGAAAGTTTTGAATATATTAGACAACAAAACAGACCTCAACACAACATTGGATCAAGCACAGTTTTTGAAGTGTAAGGCTTTTGTCTCATGGAGTCCCCTTGAAGTGCCAGATGTTATTTATGTAATGAATATAAATGTTTTTTTTAAAAAATACAACTAGTTCCTCCCAGAAACTCATGCTTTTTTTCTAACTTCTTTGTAACTGCATGACATAAACTGGAGAGAAGAGCAGTTATTAAAAAACTTGACCTTTTCAAACCTACTATGCTGGTGTATTACTGTTTTCTGCAATAGCTTTCTAGTTACAATCAGTCTGTGAATCTTCACAGCACACTTGTTTATTCATTATATGCCTCCTGATAAGATACTGGCTCTGAGGTATCCTAAGGAGCTCAATAATACAGATCTCTTGAACTCACCTGGTAGCAAGATTTTTAAAGTTGGATACATTTAGTAAATCATTTCAGGTCTATACTGTGTCCTCTCTACATTTGTATTACATTCTAGTAGTTAGCATAGAGCAATAAACCTGTGTGATGCATTTAATCAGTGGCTTACTCCATCATATGTGCTGATATCTAGGGTTAGAAAAGTATTACAGATCACCTAAATGTGGGGTGTGTGTCTATACATACACACTAGCATTTGTTGGTTGGTTGTTTTGGGGTTTTTTTTGTGGTTTTTGGTGGTTTTTTTCAAATGAGAATACATTGAGCATGAAAGAATTACTGTGGTCAAGGTGTAGATCTCTAAACACAAGATCTGTATCTTGGATCATATCTTCAGCACTGGTTTTGTATAAACATCAGATAGTAAAGTGAAACTAAGATTTTAAGAATTCAACTCTGACAAATTATAACCTATTTCCACCAAAACTTGGAGACTAAAAACTCACCAAAAACTCACTTGTATTATTGAAAAGAGAAAAAATCTTAAAAGCCAAGTTGCATTATCCAGCAGCAAAGCTACTGAAAGCAAAGTGCAGGAGGAGAGAAGGGACTTGGCTAATTTACTGTTGTTCTCCCTCCCTTTCCCCTTTGTTTCCTCTCCAGCTAGGAAGCCACCTCTAGTTTGTCTGAACACTTAAAAAATGGGACCCTTCTGGTACTGGAGCATACAGAGAGCTGGCCTAGATAGCTGAACTGGAGTTAACTTCCACCTGCTGCTCGCTTTGGAGGAAAACATAAGCCAAAAGCTGCATAATATCTAAATTACCCAATTCATTAATATCTTATATTCTTGTACACTCACACATTAACACTTCTTTTCCCAGGACATCTTGGAAGAAAGCAGACTTTGCCACCTGGCACAATTTTACCATACCCAGAGATGAGCCCTTAGAGAGTGGACTGCATGTCTCCCCAGCCAGCTTGACTGCAAACAAGACAAATCTGAGCATATCAAAGGGCTGGTGTAAGAAGAACTTGGGGGTACTTTCAATCAAAGAGTTAAGGTTGATGCTTGGAGTTTGATTTAAGATTACAGCACATCAGGTGATTTGCCCTTTCCTTGTAGCCAAACACAAGAACAAGCCTGTTAATCCAGACTTCCTGTGATTGCCTGCTCTGAAATGTTCTCGTACGTGAAGGCTACACCAGTGCCAAGCATTGTGATCATTCAGTTCAGGAAAAAGGGACATTCCTGATCGTATTTTGTAGCATGTGCCTCTCAAGACCTGGCAACAGAGAGAACAAAGTGGTAGTTTCACACAGTTGTTACGAGTTAATGTGGTTTTAGAGGCTTGGGTGCAAATCAGCTCTGGTCTTTTCCTAGCCCCAGCTGAAGAAAGCAATCACTCCCTGGGGTGCACACTGTGAATACTGGGGGAGTCGTACTACAACTATAACTTCAGTTAGGTGTTAGACTAATCCTTTTAGGGGATGTTCCCATCTTTACATATACCTATCCAAGTTTTTTCTTGTATATACATATCCAAGTTTTTTCCTTCCAGCTCACACCACAGTCACTGCTTATATTCACTTAAATGCCACTAGACATTCACCAAGAACCTTGCTTGCGTGTTTGGCAGGGAGCCTGTCAGTACCTGGAGTTAGATTTGAAACCACTCTAAACCAAAAGAGCAAAATACATCCTTGCCATAGGATGTCTTTTACACATAGGATGTACTTTACCACATTTGTAATCTCTCATGCAGTTTTAAGTGCTGATTATGTGGATAGTTTGCATTCAATGGTGTCTCAGTAGTCTGAAGCTGACAGTGAATTTCACAAGGATGACAACTACAGTGTTTGGGGTTACATGCTACCTGCAAACTACTAAATGCAAAATCTCTCTGTTATACAGAAAGAGCAAGCAGAACAATAATTTTTTTTTAATCCCAGCAAAGAACTCAGCACTACACCTGTTTTCATTGATGGCAACTGTCACCATTAGGAGGAAGTGTTGGCACCACGGTAATTCTTGCTGTGATTTCAAGATGCCAAGTAAGTGACCTCTAAATTACACTGTTAGTAATTGTATCTGATTCTAAGCTCAGGAGCATATAGAGTGTTGCTGTTATTCAGTTGTTGGTGGTTTGTTTTTTGCTTTTCTTCATGGTTTGGTTTTTAGAACAGCCCAGACAGGCTCAGTTCTCATTTTTTCAGCTCCTGCTTGATTACTGTCCATCTGTGCAACTGCCAGGAGCTCTGCAAGCGTGGCAGATGACTCCACTGCCACATGCTGTGCTGCAGCACTCAGCAATACTGTGTGGTGCAGAGCTGTTGGAGTTGTACCAGTGATTCAGCTCAGGCAGTGTTAAGCAGTTAGCGGGCAGCTAAGGTGCTCTGCCAGCAGTAATGCCTTGTTCTGCTGTCAGCATTAGGTTGAGTACCACAGTGATGTTGTGCAGTGATGATGTATACCTCAAACACACTTGCATCTTCATCACTTTGTATGAGCAGTCACAGAAGCCCAGGGGTGCTTCCCTTTTGTTGAAATGGCTGTGGGGTGCTCAGCTTGGGAGGCTTGCACGTGTGATCATGACACTGATCCTGGTTCAGTGACAAAATGGGAGAGACCAACTCTCAAGTCCTGGACTTTGCATCATGCCCACTCTGAGCCAGTCCTTACCTTGCAAAAGTGTTGATCTATGTTAAGAGCATAGCACAGCTTTAGCTGCCTGCTCTGTGAAGTCAGCCAGTCTTTCTAGAGCAGTGACTGTAAATGGTTTTTCAGTACAGGTAACCAAAGGACACCTAAGGAATACAGCAAGCCACTAAGAGTATAAGTATTTTCTTTATTTAAAAGTAAAGTAATGTAATAGAAGCTTGTTTACAAAATTGTCAGTGATGGTACATTTTAATCTTCATTGTCCAAAGCTTTTGCCCCAGGAAGCTGCTTGATTGGCTACATTTTTTACAGCTTTTTCACCAGTTTCAGCAACTTTGTAGACTTCATCAAGAGCTTTTAAAACAGAAAGACAGAAGGTAACTGTAGCATCACTGCTGCACCTTCTCCTTTCCTACCAGGGGTGGGATGAGGAGCAAGGCAGGGTTGGGGGTCTTATCTGGGATTTCACTGACATGATGTTAAAAGAAACATCATCATACCTTTCTGACCAGCATCCTTAGCCTGCTCCACTGTTTGCTGCACAGTCTGGCTCACTGTGTCCACTGGAATTAGGAGAAAAAGAAGTGTCAATTAAGCAGTCTCTATCTTTCCCCTAAATTCCGTAATCACAATTTAGAAGGGTTCCCTAAATGTTTCAGGGCTACAAAATCAAAAATTATTCCATGAAGATGGGTACCCTGATGTAGTGGGAGAGATGCTACTGGGACTCTGGCTGTCTTTCCCACATGATCCATATGTCTTGGTACAGACAAAAATTATGGACATTACAACATGTGTCACCTACATCATCAGGAAACAATCCTAGTAGAGGATCAGGTGCAATTCAACCCTTTCTCTGAGCCTGGCTAGAATCTGCCAAGAGCAGGCTTGGGCAGTTTTGTTAGTAAAGATTCTCTCACCAGCCACATAAAGCTTGATGCTTGCCATCTGAAGTGGCATGTTGCAAGGACAGCACATCAAAATTTAGTCAATAGTCTCATACTTTCTCTTGTAGATAGAAAAAATTTTATTCTACAAGAGACTAGTTCTAGAGGCATGGAAGTGTTCAATAGAGGAGACTTACTGAGACAAAGAGCAAGAGAAGCTATTGTCTTCAAGTGGTGCAACTGCAGCCTAGAAAATGGTGATAAATATTTGGATGATTTGCCTCCAATAGCTATGACTGGAGAAATCTTGCTCATGAAAGTCAAAAGTTTGGGGCAAATGGCCTTCAGCTGAACCTGTATTTGTTTTATTCCCCCATGGCTTCAAATACTACCTGTAAAAAAACAGTGTTTTTGATGTGATGTCCATGTAACAGAAGCAAGCCAGATTCTTGTGGATGTTGCATGAAAGAGAAGAAGAGGAGGAAGGACATTTAAGTGGATTGGGAGTGTCTTAAGCTTCAAAGGTCTCCAGGCTTGGACTGACTGACTCTTCAACAGTAGTAATTTTGTTAAGTGTCTTGTAAAAACCAGTAGCCTCTTTCACCTTGAGTTTGTAGGACATTTCCTACTGCTTAAAATTATCATCACGCATCATCTTCTGCTACAGTTGCCCAACGTGAGTGATGTTCACTGCTCATAAGGTGCAGCTAAGGAAAAAGGCTTCCTGTAGCAATCTCAGGTCACAGCCAAGGTCATGGCTCCTTTCAGAAGCCACGGGGGAGGTGGTAATTTTAGATACTTGCAAAGCCCCACTGAGCTACTCTGCACTTTGCAATGGCTCCTGGGACTGTGCCTTGAGGGTACCCACGGGCACGACAGAAGTAGTTCAAAGACAAGGTAATTAATAGTTGCAGAACCACCAGTTAAGACAGTCATGTTTTACTGGCATAGATTCCCCCTTTATTTTAAGTAAGTGGGGATTTAGAAGGTAGCTCTGTAATACTTCCAAGAGTTGGTGCAGTACTGGCAGTGATGCAACATGAGTTCAGCATCACACGCTGTGGATTCTATTTACTGCCCATCAGCAAGGGAAGTGCTGGTGGCACACAAGTGGCCAAAGTCAGGGAGTGCCTGGGACCTCCCAGCATTGTTCCAGGATATGACTTCAGTGGGAAGAGCTGTGCTGCAGCACAGGACTTGCTGGGAAGATGTGTGCAGAGCTCAAGGCAAAGCACTTCAGACTGCTCCTATCTGAAGAGCTGGTTCAGCTTCAAGTGCTTGGGACAGAGGGGAAAGACTGCTGCTACTATTAAAAAACTTCA